TTAAAAAAAAAACATTCGGGGGATGTGGTTATCGCCCACCCTGAATTGTCCAGAGATCAGTTATGAGCAAACTGTATTGCAATGAGTCTGGAATCACATGTAGGCCAGGCCAGGTAAGGATGGCATATTTCCTTCCCTAATGGACATAGTGAACAGTAATCAACAATGGTTACATGGTCACCATGAGATTAGCTTTTTATTTCTGGTTTTTTATTGGGATTTGAATCCCATGTCCTCATCAGTTTGAGGCTCTGGGTTACTGTAGAGCAAAGTGTGCAGAAGACAGTAGAGCAAAGTGTGCAGAAGACACTGAAAGTCTGCAGAAGGATATAGATAGTCTAAGTGAGTGGGCAAAGGTCTGGCAGATGGAGTACAATGTTGATAAGTGTGAGGTCATCCATTTTGGTAGGAATAACAGCAAAATGGACTATGTTTTAAATGGTAAAAAATTGCAGCACGCTGCTGTGCAGAGGGACTTGGGTGTCCTTGTGCATGAATGGCTAAAAGTAGGATTGCAGGTGCAGCAGGTAATTAAAAAGGCAAATGGAATTTTGTCTGTCGTTGCTAGAGGATGGAGTTTAAAAACAGAGACTATGCTGCAGCTGTATAGGGTCCTGGTGAGGCCACACCTGGAGTATTGTGTGCAGTTTTGGTCTCCTCACTTGAGAAGAGATAGCACTGGAGGGGGTGCAGAGGAGATTCACTCGGTTGATTCCAGAGTTGAGAGGGTTGGATTATGAGGAGAGAATGAGTAGACTGGGATTATACTCATTGGAATTCAGAAGAATGAGGGGAGATCTTATAGATACATATAAGATTATGAAGGGAATAGATAAGGTGGAGGCAGGGAGGTTGTTTCCGCTAGCAGGTGAAACTAGGACTAGAGGACATCGCCTCAAAATAAAGGGAAGCAGATGTAGGACTGAGATCAGGAGGAACTTCTTCACCCAAAGGGTTGTGAATCTGTGGAATTCCCTGCCCAGTGAAGCAGTTGAAGCTACCTCGCTGGATGTTTTTAAGGCAAGGCTAGATAAATTTTTGAACAGTAAAGGAATTAAGGGTTATGGTGAGTGGGCAGGTAAGTGGAGCTGAGTCTCAAAAAGATCAGCCATGATCTTATTAAATGGTGGGGCAGGCTCGAGGGGCCGGATGGCCTACTCCTGCTCCTAGTTCTTATGTTCTTTGGTTCTGTTCTTATATCACCACAATGCCTTGTCTCCCTACCTTCCACTGACCAGCCAAAAGGAGGAATTGAGCATGATGGAAAATGGTTGGAAGATCTCTGAGTGTAGATGCTGGAGCAGAGAAGATGGCAAGGTGTCCCCATGAGTGAGTGGGAAACACATGGGGACAGGAGGGCTTCGTACTTTGGGGCGATAAGATGGGCGAGTGAAAATGCTGCAAGCAATGATGAGAGTGGCGGGTCATTAACATTGGTGGGTTTGATGTGCAGTGGCAGTGTTAGGTTGAGAGTAAGGTAGTGGAGAGAAGGTGGTGACATTTACCTTTGAAGAAAGCACAAGGTCATTGACCTCCTTTCTATGTTGATACAGCAGTTCTTCTCACCAGGAACACTCCACTGACCTGGGTGGCTATGTCAGTCCACCTGGCAGTGTCTGATGCCTTGGCATCTTTTGGTATTCCAGAGGAAAGAGCTTGGTCCTCCTCTCTACCACACCATGCACGAGGAACTCCGGGAACCTTTCTGTAAACTTAAATTCCAACTTCTGTTTGCTATGTAACAATGATTAAGCAGCAGATTCTGAATGGCTGGTCCTTGCCTGCAGACTTTAACTGGAGCATAGCTGAGCATTAAATATATCACCCAACGTGTCTACGCCAAAATATTTCTCTGTATTATCCTCTGTGAAGAAAAACACGAAGTAATTGTTTAATTTCTCCACCATTTCTTAAATCATAATTAGTTAATGTGCAGCTACAGCCAGCAATGGGGAAGACAAATGATGTGTTTATGTTTATTACAAGAGTGTTGGTCTATCAGATTACAAAAACAAAACTTCCTTGAAATGACATAAGGCTTTGATGAAGACTTTGGAGTTCTGTATACAGTTTGGTTTCCTTATCTAAGGAAGGATGTACTTACCTTAGAAGGCATACAATGAATCTTCACTAGAAAGATTTTTGGAAATACAAAGGCTGTTCTTTGGGGAGAGATTGAGTGGAATTGGACTATATTTTCTATCATCGAGAGGAACTGGAGATGATCTTGTTGAAGCTTGTAAAATTCTCACAGGGTCTGACACAAGTAGATACCAAGACATTAGTTTCTGCTGAAAAGACTAGAAGTTGAGCCATAGTCTTAGAGCAAGCTGCTTGGCAATTTTTCTTTTCCATTTCTTTTTTCTCTGTTTCACCCTGCCTTCTTTACAGCCCTACCTTCTTCCCAATGTCCCTTCCCATGTTGCTGAAGAACAAACTCATGTTTGACAAAGTTGAGGAGTGTCTCTTAGAAATGAATCTCACTTAAAAGAAAAGAACAGCCCAGCTAAAAGGTTTTGCAATGAGAGCTAGGATTTATGCAATAGCTTAGCCAGCACTCGTAGAAACAGATTAATGTTTCGGGTCACTAAAACTCTCACCTTTCCAGTGAATCCATTTCTCCTTGTAGATAGTGTTGCAGATTTGACACCAGAGTGAGCAGACAGTATTAAATACCATCATCTAATCACAGTGACGGGTCGCAAACTGGATAGTTATGCATGGGCCTTGCAAAGCAAACTTTGTGCCCGACTGGATCATGAGGGTGTGCTTCTGAATCAGCTGTCATGCCGTAATGGTCTGCTTCCTCATTACATAAGACAGGTAAACTGAAATCTTCAGCAGTTACTTGTTGAAGTTTGAAAGCTAAACTGCATTTATCCAGTTAGGACATAAACATCACCTTCATATTCAAATTTAGTGATACTGACAGAATCAAGGGACATGAAGATAGTGTGGGCAGATGAAATTGATTTAGAAGATCAACCATGATCTTATTGAATGGTTTAGTAGGCTTGAGAGGCCTAATGGCCCATTCCTGATTTTACTTCTTTTATTCAAAAGTTTGGATTTCATACACATTCGTCCTGGAGCAGTCTGCTTTTGAATGTCATGATGCGATCCTTGTAATTAAGCTCTTTCCATCAAATGATTCCTCCTGCCCCGTAAAAATGACAAGCATTCTCATGATTTATGATGTCATTGCATACTCGTACAGTGCAATTAAAGGTCAACATAAATAACTTCAGAAGAAAAGAAAACTTCACAAAGAGGTAGTGAGATTGTCTCTCCAGAACTGTCACACTGGATTTATTCACTTATTACTTTCCGCACTATAATTTTACCTTATTTTCAATTGATTCAGAATGTATTTTTGTACATTTTGCCCTTTGTTTGGCACTTCATTGCATTTCAATGTATTGTTACATAAATTAAACGTGTTCTTAATAACAGGATCAAGATCAAGAGGATACAGATTTCAAGTCAATGGCAAAAGAAGCAAATGTGATATATGGGAAAGAAAACAGGCAGTGAGATTAAGGTCTGGAATGCATGGTCTGAGAGTATTGTCAAGGCAGGGTAATTGAGGCTTTCAAAAGGGTATTAGACTGTTAATGGCAGAGGAGAAGTTTGCAGGGTTACAGGGAGAAGGCAGGAGAATAACACTAAGTGAATCATGCATTCAGCACGGACAAAATGGGCTGAATGGCCTCTTTCTGTGCTGTAACAAATCTGTGACTTTCCTGTAGTAACTTCCTTGCCACAAGCTGCACCAATTAGATAGGTACTGCAACATTAATGACTCAAGTGATTACTGCAACATTAACCTTGAACACAGAAAGCTTTTGAAACTAACAGAAGTGTCAAAATTGGAACTCAGCAATTTTACTAAGCAGCTTCTCTCCAATATGTTTGCAGCAATACCATGCATGCACCTTTAATGTTGTAAAATACTCCAAGTTCCTCCATAAGGATTCAATCAATCAGCTTGGCCAAGGAAGAGTGCTTTAGAGGTGGAAAGGTAGATATTCTGGCGGCACGGTGGCTTCAGTAGTTAGCACTGCTTCACAGTGCCAGGGACCCGGGTTCAATCTCACACTTGGGTGACAGTGTGAAGTTTCCATGTTCTCTGTGTATCTTTGTAGGTTTCCTTTGGATGCTCTGGCTTCCTCCCACAGTCCAAAGATGTTTCGGGCTAGGTGAATTAGCCATGCGAAATATGAGGGTGGGAGCTCTTCGGAGGACTGGTGTGGACTAGATGGGCTGAATGGCCTGCTTGCACACTGTAGGGATTGAGAGTTTAGGGCCGAGGGTATTAATCACCAATGATTAAAAACCAGAAATGCATAAGAAGCGAGAATTGGAAGGATGGTGAGATCTCGGAGAGTTATAATCTTGAGGAATGTATACAGGTTAGGAGCAGCGAAGTCATGGAGGATTTGAAAACACAGTGGAAAATCTTGAAATCGAGGTATTCAGGAGCATGGTCCAATGTAAGTCAGTGAGCATAGTGCCCATGGGTGGATGTGCTTGTTGTCAGTTAGGATATGGACAACAGAGTTTGCATCTGTTGAACAACACCATTGAGCTAGTTTGGTTATCCCTGTGTATTCCAGGGACATTCTTGACTCCAGAAAGGAGCTAGCAGTACGTCAAACATAGCAGTAAAGTTACCTTATCGAAAGCAACATGGTCTAGGTGTGCTCATAGCATGCAGGCTGAACGCTGATGCAAGTTCATGGGAAATTTGAATAATGGAAATGCTCCGTATAATCAGACACAGAAAAGATTTAAACACATCAACATTCATATTTCGAAACTGGTATGTCTTGTTTGAAATATTAAGGGAGAGAAGGAACGAGGAGGGAGACAGAACTGAAAATGAACAGGTTCCCAGAAAGGGGCAGTCGAGGAGCTAGCATGAGATTCCCCGCTGATCTGGGACAGTATTGAAAACTTTTTTTTGTGCAAAAGAACTTTGACATTCTTGCAACAGCGCCGCCTCTTCCAACCTGGGGCTGCTCCGAAAGGAGAAGGAATCGCAGGGAAAATGGTGATACTGAAAGGGATCCCCAGCATTATATCCCCGGATTTGCTTTATGCTTTGGCTAGAATGGGGCACGGGGATGAAATCGGTAAGATTAACCAGTTGTGTTCTGCCCTGAAGACAGTCAGGTTGGGGTTCGGAGACAGCGAGAATACTCCTTCTAGCAGGTTGCAGCCTGAGGCGGGTGAGAATGAACTCAACCAGGGCTCCGCCACATTCTGCAGCCTGTGTTTCAGCCTCTCGTGTTGCTATGTTTTCGGAGCTTCCTACCCATCCGCAGGGCCTGGCCGCTATGATCTACAGCCACTATTCAATCCCTACCTTTCACCTTTAGCATGCATTCCGTCTGAGATATACTTAACCCATTGAGAACCGCACTGGTCCGTCCGGCCTTTATGTTGTAGGTCAGTCTATCCTCCACTCCTCCTACTTCCCTTTCCCTGCTCTCTGGCCTGTCCATACACCTTTCTTCTGCAAAGTACTTGCAAACGCAGGCCATTCGGCCCAACATACGCATGCTAGTGTTTGTCCCATAATCGTTGCTTAAACAAGCCATCAACATTTCCTGACCTGTTTTTATCATCACCTTGTTTAGAGACGCTCTGGAGCAGGTAGGATTTGAACCCAGGTCTCGCAGTTTAGGAGGTGGAGACGCTAGCACTCTGGCACAAGAGAGCTCCTTTCTTTTCCCGCCTCTTTTTCCTCCACTCACTCTCTCCCCTCTGTCCTCTCCTATTGACTCCTTTCATGCTGAGGCACAACATGACATACTCTAGATATTTCCAATCAACCTGTTCACAGATATTATGATACACATCTGGAATAAGTAGGATTTAAACTCAGGTGCCCTAACACAGAGGTAGGGACACTACCACTATACCAGAACATGTTCCAAGATTATGGTGTCTAATGTGCAATAAGTCAACTCAATCTTTTTCGTTGAAATTTGGCTTAAAATGACATTCCCAGAAATTAATTCAGAACCTGGCATTTGATGCCCTGTTGAAGGTGATTCAGAGGTCAATATGAAAATGGCTTTAGATACCGCTTCTGTGTCGAAGAGGCAGGGGAGCTTTATTTGGTTGGCTGGAGTTTTTGTAGCTCTGTTACAACTGACGTTTAATAGGGCTCAACCTAAATGAAATATCAAGTTTGGAGATCAGGAGAGAGTAAAATCAAAACCATAACCAGCTTCTCATAGTCCAAAGCTACAAACTACTAAGTTGTAAAATTATTACATTCGAATCAAGCAAACAATTTAATATTATTGTATAGAATTAACACAAAAAAAACCTGATGCCTGAACTAAGTTCAAATTTGAGATTGGGGTGGAAAGTAACCTGTTATCACAATCTGATTGTTGTCTAGTTATAGTCAGGATTGCGGCTGATTGAGATTGCAGGATATTATGCTGTGGATAGACATTGCAATTTATTGAACATCAGCTTAGAACTGTTTCTAGGACAAAGCTTTACACCAGGTTTCCAAATTTAACCATCTCAAACTGTTTTTGGTTGACATAGGATCTGACATCAATGATTTCATTTACGTATTTAATATGAATCCTTTAATGTACAAGTAACTAATCTGATCTGCTTCACTGTGCAAATACCGCTCTTCTAGAAATTTTCAACTGTGGAAACATTTCAGACACAACTATGATAGTCTGCATCGATCTGATTTGAGGAAGAAAGGTTTGTTAGTAATATTGAGATGCATTCATATTTTAAGAACAGCACAAGTGGAATGTGGTCTTGGCTTTGCACACACTAAACTTTACACAGACAATACAATGCAGTAACAGGCCATTCAACCAAATTAGTCTGAACCATATCCTCCACTCAAACCTCCTATTGATACTTGCATTGTGTAAGATGGTTGGTATTAAACTGAGGATCTGCAGGATGCTGGACTTTTTTTATCAATTCTCAGGATGAGTTTGCCACTGGCTAGGCCAGTGTTTATTACCAATTAAGAGCAATTGCTGTGGGTCTGGAGTCACATGTAGGCCCAGACCAGGTGAGGATGGCAGTTTCCTTCCCTAAGGGGCATTAGTGAACCAAATGGATTTTTCCCTAACAGTCAGCGATGGATTCACGGTCATCAGTAAAATCTTGATTCCAGATTTTTAATTGGATTCACAATCTACCATGGCAGGATTTGAACCTCGGTCCTCAGAGCATTACCTGGGTCTCTCATGATCTTCCACTTATGATCTCTGTCCAACAATTCCTTTTCATTAGTGCATGTGTGCGGCTGTTGTATGAGGACAGATGTCTCAGTGATGGTTTAACAGCAGCAAGACCTTTGTCTAGGTTTCACAGGAAACTTGGCTACTCACCTGGGCTGCTAGCTGGTGTTGGAGTTGTCTTTCAGGTTGGTGTTTGGTTGCATTTATGCAATGACTGCAGTGAAGCAACCTTGCACCACCGTTATAGTTGCGTGTATGCTAATCAATGATGTGCCACAGTCATCTTGGATGCGATAAGTTATTCTGCTGCAATTTCCATTTAATTAATGTACAATGATGATAGCATTTTATTCCAACTTGATAAAAAAAAGTAACTGTTTTAGTATTGATTGTTAAAATGTTAGCTGTAAATTCTCTCAGTTGTCACTTCCAATTCCCAATCACTTTCCAAACTCACCTTTCTGATCCCAACACAGTCCTTTTCCCATCTTCACTGAACATCAATGACTCTAGCAGTTCAAGAAGAAATCCCACCACCATCTTTTCCCTCTTCTTGCGGCAAGTAGGAAAGGACAATAGATACAGCCTTTCCAGGGTAGTGTTCTCACATCTTGGGAAACATAGACAATAGATGTAGGAGTAGGCCATGTGGCCCTTTGAGCCTGCACCACCATTCAATGTGATCATGGCTGATCAATTTCAATATCCCTTTCCCGCTTTCTCTCCACTTCCTTTGATCCCTTTAGCCACAAGAACCACGTCCGCCTCCGTCTTGAATATATCTAATGAACCGGCCCCAACAGCTTTCTGTGGGAGAGAATTCCACAGGTTCACAACTCTCTGAGGGAAGAAATTCTTCCACATCTCAGTCCTGAATGGCTTACCACTTATTCTTAGACCGTGACCCCTAGTTCTAGACTTCTTTAACATCAGGAACATTCTTCCACATCTAGCCTGTCCAGTCATTTCAGGATTTTATGCATTTCTTTGAGATCCCCCCTCATTCTTCTAAATTCCAGTGAGTACAAGCCCAGTCGATCCAATCTTTCTTCATATGTCAATTCTGCCATCCTGGGAATCAGTCTGGTGAATTTTTGCTGGACTCCCTCAATAACAAGAATGTCCTTCCTCAGACTAGGAGAACAAAACTGCACACAATACTCAAGGGGTGGCCTCACCAAGGCCCTGTATAACTGCAGCAAGACGTGCTTACTCAAATACAAAATAGAGGCGGTATTTCTGCTTGATCAGTCTGATCAGATTGATTACCTAACTGTGTCTAAAAATGCAAAGGTAGATGCTCTTTAAAAAGGCTCTCTGTTCTGTGGAATGGAAACATTTCACAAATAGTCAGTGTCAAATGTTCCAATTGTTGGCACACCTCTTTGCTAGTTTACCTGATCTCAGTAGTAGTAACAATCAAGTGGGTATCTGCTCTTATTTGCTATCCGATAACCCTGTTACAAAAGTGCATATCCATGGATAAATTCCTATATGGTAGCAATTGGAAATAATCTTGTGAAGTTATAATTAAGATGCTCAGTTACATTGCGTGTATTACATATTGATAAATATACGTTGATTTAGTGGCACATTTAGTGATTCATTTACGAACCTTACCTGAAACAACATCTTCCGATGTAGAGCATCCAAGTATTTATGTCATGTTATTTACCATTGATGAGAGATAATTGTAATAGTGAATATGCAACTGAGGAGGACTTCGACAAGCTTGACAGAATTTAAACCACATCATTCCTCCAAAACATTGGCATCTGGGGATATTTTGAAGTTACACAGCTTAGAAAAAAAATCATTTGACCTTGCATTTTTTAAGCTGTCTATTGTGGTATATAAAGGGTTGAATCACCAACTGAATGTACACCATGTGGTTTCCTGACGATGCACTTTTGCCACACTGTATGTATACTGGGCTTTAAGCAGCATGTTATCCCAGGAGACACTTTTCACATCTCCAATGCTTTATCTTGCAGTGCTCGCTGATGCCAACTTCCCAACTTCCTCAGTGTGTCGCTTTGGCCCAACTGAAATAAGAGTCGATGGTGAGCATTGCTTTCAGTAAGGATTGCTTCATTACCATAGACAACTTCTTGCTTAGTAATGAATCACAACAGTTTTTGCATCTCGAGTCTGCAGTTTCTTGGGAGTTGCCAGGTGTCACAGTAGTCTCGGCTAATGTAGCGTGGTTTCTCAGTCTGGGAGGTCAATTAGTGAAGGTGTTATTGGACATCTCAGCCAACTCTTGCATTAACCACTTTCTCTTCATAGTTTGCCACTTCCTCTATTGCTCTTTCTACTGCGCCTTCAGTCCTCCAAGACATGGTAGCAGGCTTTACTGATCTTACCTATAGCCTTAATAATTTCTCATCCCCCGATGCTACATTTGCTGCCTCTCCCAAACCCTTCACTCGGGCTCTTAGAATGTAATATTGATTTCAGTGAAACTGATTTCTCCTCATGCAGTATCACCTTGCAAATACAATGCTATCCTAATTCATTTACATATCCATGTCAGCCCAGCACAACGGCCATGCCAAGTGGGGTGGCACGGTGGCTCAGTAGTCAGCCTCACAGCGCCAGGGACCTGGTTTGGATTCCAACCTTGGGCGACTGTCAGTGTGAAGTTTACAAATTCTCCCTGTGTCTGCATGGGTTTCCTCCCATAGTCCAAAAATGTGCAGGTTAGAGGATGCTAAATTGCTCATAATGTGCAGGTAGATGGATTAGCCATGGGAAATGCTGGATTACAAGGAAAGAGTATGGGGGTGGTTCTGAGTGGGATGCACTTAAGAGGGTTGGTGTGGACTTGATGAGCCAAATGGTCTGCTTCCACACTGTAGAGATTCTATGATTGATCATTACAAGGCTGCCTCTGTCACCATAAACCAGGCTCCCACCTCCAACCAACTCTTATCCTCTGTGTATTCCTTACTATTAGCTTCAACTCCAGCATGTGACTCTGTGGCTATAGCCATGTATGTAATTTTTTTCAAGTTCCTTTGGATGAGAGTGCTGTTGTATGATGAGAAGCTGAGCAAATTGGGTCTATATTCTGTGCAGTTTAGCAGAATGAGAAGCTATCTCATTAAAGAATAAAAGATTCTGAAGGGGTTTGACAAGGTCAACACTGAGAGATATGTTTCCCCCAGGCTGGCGGGTCTAAACAACAGGCCACAATCTCAGGAAAACAGCACACTCCCTCAGGGGAGAGATGATGTGAAATTTATTCACCCATTGATTGTGAATCTTTGGAATTCTCGACCTTGGAAGGTTGAAGGTTTTCCATCATTTAATTTGCTTAAGGCTGAGATTGACAGATTTTTCATCTCTCAGAGAATCAATGGACCTGGGGACCAGGCAAGAATGTGGAGTTGAAACTGTGGCCTTATTCAATGATGGGGCTTGCCTGAGGGTATTATGATCTACTACTGCTAGTATATCCTGTGGTCCTATCTATATTAGTTGAGTGGACCATCCATCGTGTTACAAAACCATTTTCCGTCCTAAAGTTCACTGATCTGTGCTGTGGTTTGTAACTTGGTCTCAAGCATTCTTGGTCTAAGGAGGGGAAAATATTTATCCTTCCACCCCACCTCCAGATTTCCCCTTCCCGATTTGCAGTCAGTGCAATTGGGTGAAAACGAGACCAGGAAGAGCCGCAACAGTTTTTGTGGAATAAATATTCTTACAAAGGACAGCGATGAGTGAAGCTAGAAATTATTGAAGCATATCTCCACAAGAGACTTCATTCAGGACCAGCAGAGAGGATACTGAAGTAAATTTCAACAAAGACTAATCTTTTCCAATAGTAACATTTCTGGATGAGTATAGTATAAGAGTTTATGAATTCATTATACTGCTCTTTAAATATTGTTCGTATATTTGCGGTTTCACATTGTTGCACTTTATAACTGCTTGAACTAAGAAAAGTACAATGCATCTAAATAATCTCTTAGCATCCATCATGATATGCAGTACTCACATACACTCTTAAATGCCCAATTTGGTGATATTCATTTATTTATTATTTAGTTGAATCTCTTGATTAAGTGACTCATAGAAAGAGACAGCATAACTACTGTCATTCATAAATACCCATGGCTCATTCACCTCTCATTCTTTAAAATTGTAGACGCCCAATTTGGCTAATCTCTCTTTATCGGATAATCCTGCCATTCTGAAAATAAGTCTGGGGAGCCATTGTTGTACTCCCTCTATGGCAATAATATCTTTCCTGAGATAAGGAGACCGAAATTGCACATGGTACTCCAGGTGCAGTCTAATTAAGTTTCTATACAATTGAAGAAGGATCTCAATACCTTGTAATAAAATCCTCTTGCAATAAAGGCTACCATTCCATAGGCCTTCCTAATAACTTGTTGCATCTGTTTGCTTTCAGTGACTTATTGACAAGGAAATCCAAGTCTCTTTGCACATCTACACTTTGCAGCCTCTCATCTTTTAAGAAATGCTCTGCGTGTCTGTTCCCTTATGAAAGTTGATAACTTCATCTTTGTAGTGATTGTAACAAGGTCAGCCAGATGGACCTTATAGAATATGAGTTCCCTGATTGGGGCTGTTAATCTGGTCCAGTCAGGGAGCCCTGGCTGACAGATATAAACAAGAGTGTCAGAGGTTCTGTTCACTCTGAGAGCTGGCTCTGAGGGACCTGGACCAGTGTCAAGTACTACGCACGTGTAAGTAAAGGGTGACTTGGTGATGGGATACCAGCCTCTGTGGAGTTATTTCAGTGGCAACGAGGGTAAAAAATACACTCCTGAAGAAATTCACTGACAACAGTTGTCTTTGAGTTGGGGTAAGCATTTCTGGCAACATGCCATTATTTGGGAAGCTTGACTCATTTGATCCTGCCATCGAAGACTGGGTCCAGTGTGTGGAAAGAACACACTATTTATTTCCAGGCAAATGTTATTGGGACAAGTGAAAAGCAACAGGTAACTCTCCTGACAGCTTGTGGACCTGCAGCGATTAGGAGCCTGTCGTTTCCTGAGGCACCAGATACTAAAACCTTTCAAGAGTTTTCTGTTGAAAAAGGGTAGCCAGGATATAGCCTTTAGGGAAGTGAAGAAGCAGCTATCATTGTCTACAGTGTTGGCCATCTATGATCTCAAGCAAAATCTGGCACTGACTTGCGTTGGCTATCCTTATGGTATCGAGGTAGTGTTAGCTCACCAGTGGCCCAGTGGGGAGGAATGCTCAGTAGTATGTGCTTCCCAGACTTTGGACGGTGCAGAGTGCAAATATGCCTAGATAGAGAAGGAAGGTTTGGTGGTCATCTTTGGTGTGAGAAAGTTACACCAGTACCTTTACGGATGCAAATTTGTCAAAGTAACAGACGACAAATTCTTGCTAGGTCTGCTCCAAGAGGACATGGCCGTGCCACCCATATCTTCAGGTAATTTCAATGGCGAGCTCTCATTCTACGTGCATACACTTACAAGTTGGAACACTGTCTGGGAGGACAAGTAGTAAATGCAGATGCCTTGAGCTGCCTCCCCCTGGCAGATACACCACCAGTGGTGCCGCCACGGGAAGAGTCTGTTCTGGTTTTAAACTTTCTGGATGTCCTTCCAGTCACTGCTGACAATATCAGACTGCGGACGCTATAAGGTCTGGGCCTGGCAAAACCTAAACAGCTAGTGGCGTTAAGGGAAACAAAAGGGCCATCACAACTCAGATCAAGACCAGATCACGATAGAGGACGACATTTTACTATGGGGAGCATGAGTGATTGTCCTGAGCAAAGGTCACTGCCAGATACTGGCTGAACTCCACCAGGGTCATCCAGGGGTGTCTAAAATGAAGATGTTGGTGGGAAGTTATGCCTGATGGCCAGGATTGGATGCAGAAATTGTCATGTTGGTGGGGCAGTGCCCAGAGTGCCAATAAGGACAAAAATTACCGTCAACAGCTCCCCTACATTCACGGGAATGACTGGGTAAACCCTGGACTCAGCACTGACGATGCAGATTCTTTCATGGGCTCAACATTCTTAGTCATTGTGGACACCCACTCAAAGTGGTTGGACATGCATCAAGTTCATTTGTCAAACACGGGGACAACGATAGAAAAACCTGTGAACATCTTTTGGAATACACCGTCTCCTGGAAGTGTTGGTCGCAGCCAACAGGCCATCATTTACCAGCAGGGAATTTAAGTATTTCCTAAAGTTGAATGGTATTCAACTTATGAAGACAGCTCCATACCATCAATCATCCAATGGTATGGTGGAAAAAGCAGACTAAACTTTGAAAGCAGGCTTAAAGAAACAGCCTATAGTTTTAGAAGTGCTAAAAGGGGTTGTGAAAAGTCGTTAGCAAACAGGATTAAGGAGAGTCCCAAAAGTTTTTTACATACACATAATAAACAAGAAGGTAGCCTGGTAAAAGACAAAGGAAGCAATCTATGTGTGGAGCCAGAAGAGATAGGTGAGGTCCTAAACGAATACTTTGTGTCAATATTCACCAAAGAGAAAGGAATTGATGGAGAATGATCTCAGGGAAGGGAGTGTCGTGTTTCTAAGCCAAGTTGCTATCAAAAAGGCGGAGGTGTTGTGCGTCTTAAAAAGTATTAAGGTAGTTAAATCCCTGGGTCCTGATGGGATCTATCCCAGAATATTGAGGGAGGCAAGAGAACAAATTGCTGGAGCATTGACAGACATCTTTGTATCCTCTTTGGCCACAGGTGAGGTCCCAGTGGACTGGAGAATAGCCAGTGTTCTCCCACTGTTGTAACAGGGATAATCTTGGAAATTACAGGCCTGTGAGTTTCACGTCGGTGGTAGGGAAATTATTGGAAAAGATTCTCAGGGACAAGATCTATATGCATTTAGAAGCAAATGGACTTACTAGCGATAGACAGCATGGTTTTGCATGGGGGAGGTCGTGCTTTCACTTACTTGATCGAGTTTTTTGAGGAGGTGACAAAGATGATTGATGAGGGAAAAGCAGTTGATGTCATCTACATGGACGTCAGTGAAGCCTTTGACAAGGTCCCTCATGGCAGACTGGTACAAAAGGTGAAGTCACAGGGTATCAGGGGTGAGCTGGCAAGATGGGTACAAAACTAATTTAATCATAGGAGACAGAGGGTAGCAGTGGAAGGATGTTTTTCGGGCTGTGACTAATGGTATTCCACAAGGATCAGTGCTGGGACCTCTTCTGTTCGTGGTCTACATAAATGACTTGGAGGAAAACATATCTGATCTAATTAGTAAGTTTGCAGATGATACAAAGATCGGTGGAGTTGTGAATCGTGAGGAGGATTGTCAGAGAATACAGCAGGCTGTAAATCAGTTGGAGGCATGGGCAGAAAATGTCAGATGGAGTTTAATCTGGACAAATATGAGGTGGTGCATTTTGGAAGGTCAAGTACCGGTGGAAATTATACAGCAAATGGCAGAACCCTTAGGTGTGTTGATATACAGAGGGGTCTGAGTGTGCAGGTCCTTAGGTCACTGAAGGTGGCAACGCAGGTAGATATGGTAGTTAAAAAAAGGTTTATGGCATGCTTGTCTTCAATGGAAGGGGCATTGAGTATAAAGATAGACAAGTTAGGCCACACTTGAAATTTTGTGTACAGTTCTGGTTACCACAGTACCAAAAGGATGTAGATGCTTTGGAGAGGGTACAGGAAAGTTTCACCAGGATGTTGCCTTGTATGGGGGACTTTAGCTATGAAGATAGGTTAGATAGACTGGGTTTCTTTTCACTGGAACGCAGGAGGTTGAGGGGCGACCTGATAGAAGTTTATAAGATTGTGAATGGCATGGATAGGGTGGAGGGGCTACTTACTAGGGGACGCAGGTTCAAAGTGCAGGGATGGGGGGGAAATGTTTAAAAGTGATGTGTGAGGCACAATTTTCACACAAAGGGTGGTGAGTGCCTGGAATGCGCCGCTAGAGGAGGTGGTGGAAGCAGACACAATAGCAGCGTTCAAGAAACACCTGGACAAGTACATGAATAGGAAGGGAATAGAGGTGTACGGACCCTGTAAGTGAAGACACTTTGAGTATGGAAGGGCAAAATGTGTTGATGCAGGCTTGTAGGGCCAAAGGGCCTGTTTCTGTGCTGTTTTATTGTTGCTGTTCTTCTTTGTATACCCAGAACAGCTGGAAAGGCTGTCAAAACCCTTGGGTTTTCCTCCTTTGTCTGGTACCGAAGAAACCCCAGAGCCTGAGATGGACACAGCGGATTTCGCAGCCTTGACACCTTCATCACCTGAAGAAGAGGGTGACTTTGCCCTGAGACGCTCCAGGCTCAAGAGGTGGACTACAGTCTGGTACATGCTGCCCGTATCTAAGGCAGAGTCAGAGGAACAGAACCTGGCGCAAAAACACCCTAGGAGAGGGGACAAGACAAAGAACAGGACTAAGTGCCTGGACTTAGAGGAAGAGAGATGCGGTGATTGTAACAAGGTCAGGCAGATGGACCTCATAGAAAATGAGATCCCTGATTGGGGATGTTAACCTGGTCAAATCAGGGAGTCCTGCCTGACAGATATAAATATGAGTGCTAGAGGTTCTTTCTGTTCACTCTGAGAGCTGGCTCTGAGGAAGCCAGACCAATGTCCAGTGCTATGCACGTGTAAATAAGGGGTGACTTGGTGACAGGATACCAGCTTATGTGGAGTTATTTCTACATTATTCCACAATATTCCAACTGCTAAACTCCTGCATGCTCACTAATCCTATCCAAATCCTCCTGAACTCCCTTTACAACTTCCTCCCAACACACATTCCTGCTTAGCTTTGTATCATCTGTAAATTTGGAAATATTACATTTGGTCTCCAACTCCATACTATTGATGTATAGCTGAAGCCCAAGTATTGATCCTTGCAGTACCACACTAAACACAGCTTGCTAACCCATTTATTCTCACTCAGTTTTCTGAAAATCCTTAATCACTGGCAGTGGATTACCTCTTAATCAAAGTGCTTTAATTTTGCTAACTGAGCTCCTGTGGGGGACCTTATCTAAAGCCTTCTGAAAACCCAAGTGTACTACTTGGATTAATTTTGTTAGTAACATCCAGAAAGAACTCCGAAACGTTTGTCAAACATTGTTTATAATAACAAAGCCGTTCAGAGATTTATCAAAATTGTCTGCTAGCATCCCTACATCCATTGATGTTTTACAGATTACATCTACCCCGTCATCATTTATTTAAAGAATTCCTGAAAAAAATATTGGGAAGTGAGGATGACAAAGTCACAATTGGGTTAATGCCATCTTTCCATAGAGTCCCTACAGTGTGGAAGCAGGTCATTTAGCCCATTGAGTCCATACCAACCCTCCAAAGATCAGCCTACCCTATCCCTGCATTTCCCATGGCTAACCCACCTAGCCTGCACATCCCTGGACACTATGGGCAATTTAGCATGGTCAGTCCACCTAACCTGCTCATCTCTGGACTGCGGGAGGAAACCGTAGCATCTGGAGGAAACCTGGACAGATATGGGGAGAATGCGCAAACTCCACATACACATTCACCCAAGGGCAGAATCAAACCTGGGTCCCTGGTGCTGTGAGGCAACAGTGCTAACCACTGAGCCACCCCACCACCCCACCACCCCACCACCCCACCACCCCACCACCCCACTAAAGTATTCAGTTCAATTTATACTGCATATTCTCATAAGACACGTTAGAGCGAGCTTTTGGAATGTGTCTCTATCAGAGGCATAGTTTTGAAGATCTTTAAAGCTCACAAATGTCGATGTTCCAATTGTGGAGAAGGCATCATTGACTGAAAGTTTGAGTGGTACACCAGAACTCTCATAATAAATCCATCTATAATTGAAATTGCAGGGTTTTGCTAACAGGTGTTTCATGCATCAGACTATGATAATTTTATACATGTTTGAGATTTGAGTTCAATTTGGCTGTTATCATGTATTGTCCCCAGCAAACCACCAATGTGACAGTACCACTTCCACACTGGCTACTGCCTGGTCACTGATATATTATGATAGTATCCAATCAGTGCTTAAACTTTGGCAGTTTTATGCTATTTATCTGCACAGAGTAAACTTCCACTTTCTTGAAAATGCTAAACTTTTTCACATACGTTACTGAAAGGACTTCAGAATGTGCTTATTTAAATGTGTGATACAGTAAATGCAGTGATCAGCCACTAGATGGTGTCTGTACACAGGATAGGATGGGTTCCCTTTTTTTGCCATAATCCCTTGATTCACTGGCTGTAGATTTAAAGGTTTCAGCAGTAATTATATAATCTCTTGTTCCATCTGAAAGAGTTTGCCTTGTCCACATGCACTAACCTGTTCATGAAGTGCTGGTTATATGTTAGCATACCTGTAGGGACTATCATAAATTGAAAATAGAAATTAAAAGGGATCATCTGTGATAAATATTAGCTTAAGAATGGATCAAAAATAATGGCTGTAATGCTGACAGAAGATACTCTGTGAACTAACGATCAACAGAAGTTGTAGGCTGATTTGCGCCACTGTTAGCTTCACAAAAATAACTCCCTCTGATTTAGATGAAGTTGCTGAATTTTCATATTACCCGTCCATTAAACCCTCAAGAAAAGCTAGATCTAGTATTTGGTAGTGTAAGTACCTGTTTAACAATGAGATATTTGTTTACAACTGCTAACCAATCTCTCTTGTCCAAAAAGTTAACAATTATAAGTGTGAGGTTCAGTCCATCAGAATGTAAATTGTTTAAGAAGATCTTAAAGATTTGAACATGTTCATTGTTTCCATATTTTCTCTTTCTGTCTCTTATTGCTCCTTTTCCTGATTTCATCATTCTTTCCCCCCTTTTATTTCACTTTCTGTGCCTGATTTAACATTACATTTACTTCCCCTATTCATTCACCTCATCAGTTCCCCCTTTCTTAATTTCTCATTTTTAAAATCTCATTAGTTAAGGAGTTCCGATGTTTGTCCCGACAATTCAACACATTCAACACTGACAAGTTGAATTGTCTAGAGACCATATCCTGGGTCCCAGGAACACAGGCATCAAAGCCCATGATTATAAAGGTAACTACCTTAATCTCACGTTTGCAAAGAATTGCTGCCTTTTCCCTTGCAATAAGATCATACGGCACGTTTTGGAGCTACAGAGATTCAACAGCCAAATTTCTGCCCTCTTATTCCATTACTTAGGCTGGGCCATCATTTATTTGAACTTACCACTCACCAAATATTGAGAGAAGATAATTATCATACCGCTTCTCTACTTAAAAACATTAATTTCAATAATTGAAATATTTAAATAATTCTTCACAATGCTGTCAGCAGACTGTACCATACTGTTCATCAAAGTGTTGTGTGAGAATTTTCTATCATCCTAATCTCTTACTCATTCACATGGCCGGCAACTTTAGGATTTCTCTAGTGCCAATGACGTGCATCCCACTGAGAGCTGAGAGTGCTGCAAAGTGAGGGAAACTACTCAGAGCCCCAGAACTAGTTGTGGCTTAGCTTCAGTGCAGTGAAGAATTCTGTTACTTTGCAAATTTGTAGATGTTTAAAAACTCTTTGAAACTAACAATGTTTTGTTTTTCCTCATTAAAGGTCTTGGAATTCCAGAGCTACTCCAGGCTGTTCTAAAACTCTTTCCATTGGATACTTACGTCAGCTGCCCAGTAAGTTTGGCTGTACAGTGCACCAAGAGCTTTAAGTTATCACAAACTTCCTGTTTGTGCTGGCCTGTGTGTAGACAGTGTATCTTTGATTTAGAGATAACAAGGTGTAGAGCTGGATGAACACAGCAGGCCAAGCAGCATCAGAGGAGCAGGAAAGCTGACGTTTCGGGCCTAGACCCTTCTTCAGAAAATCAGAATATCTTTGATTTATGTGTGATACCTATTAAATCTAAATAAAGCCAGTTATAGAGAATGAGCTACTGTCTACTCTTCTGGCATTGACTTTTCCCAATCATGTATCTCACAAGGATAGCTAATGGAATTAAACAATTTCTTTCTCCTGTCCATGAAAGATGGGAAACAGCTAGAATAGCAATCTATGGGCCAGTAAGTTGAAGCTAAAGGTTATTGCACTACATAGAGAGGGTGTGAGGAAAGACTGGATCGACTGGGCTTGTACTCGCTGGAATTTAGAAGAATGAAGAGGGATCTCATAGAAACAAATAAAATCCTGATGGGACTGGACAGCCTAGATGTGGGAAGAATGTTCCCGATGTTGGGGAAGTCCAAAACAAAGGGTCACAGTCTAAGAATAAGTGGTAAGCCATTCAGGACTCAGATGAGGAAGAATTTCTTCCCTCAGAGAGTTATGAACCTGTGGAATTCTCTCCATCAGGAAACTGTTGGGGCCAGTTCATTAGATATATTCAAGAGGAAGCTGGACGTGGCCCTTGGGGCTAAAGGGATCAAGGAGAATGCAGAGAAAGTGGGAATGGGATACTGAGGTTGCATGATCAGCCATGATCATATTGAATGGTGGTGCAGGCTCAAAGGGCCGAATGGCCTACCCCTGCATCTATTGTCAATGTTTCTATGCTTCTGTGTCTAGGATCCCAAAGATGAATGTGAGGGAGTTATTGAGGATAAGTAGATAATATTGAGGGGGGGGGATCAGGTGAGTCACCAAGACCACCACAGTGTATATAAAGGCTTGGACTGGGCTGGAAGAATGAATCCACACCAATGTAACCAGGTACAGGCTTTTTAAGTTAAAGGCAGAAGTGTTGAGAGAAGCTGAAAGGAAGTTGGTACTGTTCAGGCAGACAAGAGGTTAACATGAGTGGGAAGCAGTTGGAAGTTGCATGCCAGTTTTCAGTAACAATGGCCATCAGGTTGAGGCTTTCAATGTAGGGAAAAATTACAGGGAAGATGAAGACATCAGAATCACGGTGGCACAGTGGTTAGCACTGCTGCCTCACAGTGCCAGGGAACTGGGTTCAATTCCACCCTCAGGCAACTGTCTGTGTTAAGTTTGCGCATTCTCCCTGTGTCTGTGTGGGTTTCCTCCAGGTACACTGGTTTCCTCCCACAGTCCAAAGATGTGCAGGTTAAGTGGATTGGCCATGGGGAATATAGGGTAGGGGGGTGAGTTTGGGTGGGATGCTGTTCGGAGTGTCGGTACGGGCTGAATAGCCTGCTTCCACATTGTAGGGATTTGGTTGATTCTGTGATGTAGATTGGAAGGTAGAGGAATGTTGGAAACAAAGGAATTTAATTCTTCTAAAAAGTAGGTGGATGGGTTTTTGGTCGGGAATTGAGTGGGTACTATAATCTTGGTCCACAGATCCACAGGGGTAGGAGGTGGCATAATGGTCTTATCACTGAATTCATAACCCAGAACTTCAGGCTAATGTTCTGGCGACATACGTTTGAAACCTACCGTAGCAGATGGTGACATTTAAATTCAATAATGTTTTGAGCCAAAAGCTGATCCAATGGGACCTCCTGCCTATTGTGGATTGTGCACACCCTGGTCCTCGGTTCACTGCTGTCCTTCAGGGAAGGAAATCTGCCATTCTAACCTGGTCTGACCTCTGTGTGACTCCAGACACTCAGCGGAGTGGTTCACTACCCTCTGAAGTGGCTGAGCAAGACTCATTCGAGGGCAATTAGGGATGGGGAACAAATGCTACTGGAGGCAGTGATGCCCACTTCCCATTGACTGAATTAAAAGAAGGCCTTTGGTTACAGTTTGAATGGATGTTTAAAAAATTATGGGATGCTAATGTGAAGGTTGGGGGATTTGTGTGGAGGGAATAAATGATGTGGAGTCAGGCAGTACATCCATTGGGATTGAGATTTCTATTGCAGACACGTTCTGAAAATGCATTTATGGGAATCGGAGATTCCTGGCGCTGTGTTCATCAGTGCATAGTAACAGGTCAGTATCTCCAGTGCATAGTAACAGGTCAGTATCTCCAGTGCATAG